GGGATCATGACCTGAGCCGAAGGCAGACACTTAACGACTGAGCCACCCAGGCGCCCCAAATAAAATATTTTTTAAAAATAAATAAATAATTTTTAAAAAAGTATAAAAGGAAGCTGCAAGACAGAGTGTTTAAAGGAAAAGATGGGTGTGTGTGTGAGAGAGAGAGAAAGAGAGAATAATAATCACACATATCAATCTGTATATACATAAAACATTTCTGGAAAAATTCCTAAGAAACCATGAACAGTAGTTGGGATGTGAGACAGACTTATTTTTCATTACATACCCTATCATCCTGTGTGAATTTTTTTACCATGCGTTAAAAAAATTTTTTTTCTTTCTTTCTTTTTTTTTCTTCTAGTAATCTCTAAACCCAATGTGGGGCTCGACCTCACAACCCCAAGATCAAGAGTCACATGCTCTTCTGACTGAGCCAGCCAGGTGCCCCAATTAGCTAGTGTTTTAATTGAAAAATTTAAACTGAACACCTTCTATGTGCCAGGCACTAGTTAACTGGGGAGCCTGGCTGGTTCAGTCAGAAGAACATGCGACTCTTGATCTTGGGGTTGTGAGTTTGAGCCCCACATTGGGTGTAGAGATTACTAACAAAAATAAACTTTTAAAAAAGCCTAGTTAATTAAAAACAAACTAAACAATATAGCATGGCCATTTTTTCCATGTTACTGTACATTATACATAGTATAACTCTCATTGCCATTTACTGTTTAGATATTTCACGTGTATTAACTTACTATTTTCCACAACAACCCTCAATCATTATTCCATTTCACAGATAAAGAAGCTGAGGCAACTTGCCCAAGGTCACACAGATATTAGGTGGTGGAGCAGGAATTTGAACCCATGTGACCTGACTCTGAAGTCCATGCTCTTAACCATCTTGTGATGACACCCCTCTCCCGTTAAGGGCTGCAAAGTGTATTCTACAAAGTGATTGTGTCACACTTTATCTAACCACTCCTCCTCTGATATGCATTCTGGTTGCTTCTGGGATTTGGCTATTACCTACCATGCTGCAGAAACACCCTTGTGATTAACCCTTCGTGTTCTTGGGTAAAATATATTTATAAGAGAAGTCCGGGAAGTGAAACCACTGCATCATCTAATATTTGGTAGTATTGCCAAATTACTTCCCATTGTTTTACTTCACCAGTGTGTTCTCCCCTTGCCTATGTATGAGAATGAGGAAGTAGCCCAGAAAGGGGAAACTAGTCCCAGATAAAAACAGTGTGAGCAGAGACACTGACCTGTGTGTTTTGTGAAATTGTCTAGCTCGTCTTTATTCAGCAAATATTTATTGTGTCCTTCCTGAGTGCGTTTGGAGAATGGAGACAGTCATGGCGAACACACAGACATGGGCCATGCCTTCACGGGGCAGACAATCTGTGGAGAGAGGCGTTAATGAAGTAAACACACAGAGTGAAAATGTAACAACAATGTGCAGTAAATGCTATCAGGCGAGAAAATGGAGTGCTGTGGGAGGGAGTAACGGAGGCTTTCTTTAGAGAGGGTGGTCAGGAGAGGAACTTCTGGGGAAGAGACGTTGTTACGCTGAAAACAGAAGTAAGAGTAGAAATTAACAGAAGAGTTGAGGGGAACAAGGCTATTTCCTGGCCCCTAAAGAAGTTGGAGCGATAGGTGGGGCCAAGGCCCCAGAGCCTTTTTGGGTTTTTTTGGCCCTAGAGCCTTTTGAAGCACTGAAGGGTTTAAGTGAGGTGTTGATCTCGTTTACGTTTTTGCAGATTCCCTTCTGCTATGTAGGAACTGGATTAAAGCAGGAACAAGAAGTAGGGAAACCAGTTAGGAGGCTGGCCTAAGGTGGTGTAGGAGGACCTATAGATCAAAAGAGTCTCCAAAGATGCATCGATCAACTGCCATGTGTGGACTTCATTTGGATCCTGACTTTTTTTTTTTTAAGATTTTACTTATTTATTTATTTGAGTGAGATAGAGCGAGTGTGCTCCAGGGCAGGGTGGAGGGGAGAAGGGCAAGGCGAGGCAGAGGGACAGAATCTCAAGCCGACTCTGTCCAAGCTGAGCACAGGGCCCCACGAAGAGCTCAGTTCCACCACCCTGAGATCCTGACCTGAGCAGAAACCAAGAGTCAGAGGCTCAACGGACTGCGCCACCCAGGTGCCCCTGGATCCTGAATTTTTTTAACTGTAAAAAAAAAAAAAATCACAGCTATGAGACAATTAGGAATTTGAACACAGTATATTTGATATTAAGGAACTATTTTTAAAATTTTAGGTATTCTGTCAGGTTTCCCACTATCCCCACTCCTGGATTAAAGAGTTGGAAGTTATCTAGTAGATCATTTAGAAATGTAAACTAATATATTAATGAATGATATGATATACATAGCATTTTGTTATATTGCATTATAGTTTTTCCTATGCAGATATTACTGTGAAAGTATCTATACTTTCATAGTTGAGATCATACTTAAATCCAGTTGGTATTGGAACAATACCTTTTAAAAGTTTAAAGTAATAAATAGTGTTGAGGGGACACGGGACAGTGATGCCACCATACTCCAAAGCAGGATGCTTTTGAGAGTAAAAGGTGACAATTGGAAACCTGAATTGTCCTAGCCAGGTGAAGTTGCTTGCCTTAATACTTGATTGCCTTATTAGTTTTTCGGAGATTGCATCCTGACATGTTTATTCGTTTGATTTTCAGAGTGACAAAGACATACTCGGGAAATAATACTTGGGAGTAAGTTAAGCTCTGGCCATCTCTGAGAAATGCTCAGTTATCTCCTCCATAAAGTTTGGACTCCCTGCCCCCATCCCGAGTTGGATGGCACTCCCTGAGGCTCTGGGGCAGTGGTTATCAAAATGCTGGGGGTGGGCAATGTTGGGATTTTGTTCCTCCCCACACCCACCTACCAAGAGATATGTGGCAATGTCCGGAGACATTAGTGATTGCACAACTGGATCAGGGAGAGTGCTGCTAGAAGCTAGTGGGTAGAAGCTGGGAATACCACTCAGTACCCTACAGTACACAGGCTAGCCTCCCTACTCCCCCATCAAAGAATTATCAGGCCCCAAAAGTCAATGCTGTCATGGTTGTGAAAACTTGCTATAGGTACCTTTTTCACAGCACTTCATGAAGACAACTATAATTGTCAACAGGTTGGCCTTCCCAGCTAGACTGGCAGCTTCATGGGGACAGGTGATACATGTGTCTTCTTGGGTGTTTGGCATATAGTTGACACTTAATGAGGACTGAAGGAAGAGGGGCACCTGGGGGGCTCAGTCAGTTAAGCCTCTGCCTTTGGCTCAGATCATGATCCCCAGGTCCTGGGATTGAGCCCCGCATCAGGGCTCCCTGCTCAGTGGGGAGTCTGCTTCTCCTTCTCCCCACCCCCTGCTTGTGCTCTCTCTTGCTTTCTCTCTCAAATAAATAAATAAAATCTTAAAAAAAAAAAAAAGGTTTGAAGGAAGATGAGGAGGTACATCCAAACCAGATTCAAACTTAGGGCCCTGTGAGATCATGCTGCTTGATTTTTTTTAATTAATTAATTTACTTACAGTGTTATACTATTTCCAGGTGTACAATATAATGATTCAACAATTCCATACATCACCTACTGCTCATCAGGACAAGTGCAGTCTTAATCCCCATCACCTATTTAATCCAAACCCCCACCCACCTCCCCTCTTGTAAACATCAGTTTGTTCTCTATAGTTAAGAGCCTGTTTCTTGATTTGCCTTTTTTTTCTTTGCTCTTTTGTTTTGTTTAAGTTACACATATGAGTGAAATCATATGGTATTTGTCTTTCTCGCAAACTGCTTGTTTTCTGAATTATTTCCCACCTCCCTTTGGGCACAGTAATCAGATGATAAGTATTGCATTCTCCAACATTTAACAAATGTTTACTAAGCACTTACTAAGTACTGTCAGTGTTTTAGGTACTGGGAATACAGCTATGAGCAAGGCAGAGTCCCTGCTCAAAGAAAATTTAATCTCAGAGGGGAAGACAAACAATAATTAAGGAAACAAGATGGCTTCAGACAGTGATAATTATCACGGAGAAAATAAAAGTGGGGCACCTGGCTGGCTCAGTCAGTAGAGCATGCAACTCTATTTTTTTTTTTTAAAGATTTTATTTATTTATTTG